TTCCTGAACTTCGTTTCACATCCAATAAGAAGAAACGAACTCAAAAGAGACCTGGTCTATCGCCAAAGCACAAGCTGGATCGCGCAGGAGGCAAGAACCAAAGGCCTCCCGAACCTCCACAGGGGAAATGCGAAGAAGAAATACCTCTGGGAAGGACGAATCTAGGGTGCCCAAGGGTACCAAGAAACGAACCCGAAGGGAAACCCCATCAACTTCAAACTCATAAAGGGAAGGGAGATACGAACATCCCCTGCAGTAAAAGGGGGTTTTCCAATGAACAATGCACCCAAATCATAGTCCCTAAAACACAAGTGGGGCAGGACCATGGTTTCTAAAACATGTATACAATTTTGCACGTTGCAACACAGAGAAATGCCTATGCAACGTAACCACTGCCTGATCCTTCAGAATATCTGATGAGGAATTAGTAACCTGGAAAACAAGGAGAACAATTCCCGCAAGACTCCGGATTGTAGGTGTCGCCGACCCAACAAGCAGCATGATGGAGGCAGAATGGATGAGCATCACCTTGAGGCAAGGACAACGAGCAACCCTCAACTTTGCACAAGGCGAGAGCGAGCTCAGAAGAGATATCCAAAGTACAACCAAGCCTGTCAGGGATTTCCAGGGCCTGAAGGGTGAATGAGCCATACAGGAAGCCCAGGCACTGGGGTCAGCTATGCCAGTAACCCCTTGTCAATGCAGGCAACCAGACCACTAACAACTGCCAGAAAGCCCTGGGGGCATCAGAAAAGTTCAACCGCACACACTCTAGGTTAGCCAAGGTAGAGCTCCCCCGCCAAAAGAAGAAAAAAAAAAAATGGCAAGGGAAAGCGAATTAAAACCCCTGAGAACCCCCCCCCCCCCCCCCCAACATCTGCTTGATACCTGCTTGATGGGGTTCTGGGAGTTCTTCTACTCCCCAAGCCCGGCCCGAGGCCAAGCTCGACTTGTGAGAGTTTGGTCCACCAGGCTGTTGCTTGGAGCGGCCCGCAAAGCCACATACCCACTACAGCCCGGCTGATCCGGAACTTCTCTTAGAAAACAGTCCAGTTTTCTCTTGAAGATGTCCACGGTTGTTCTGGCAATATTTCTTATAGTCGCTGGGAGGACATTGAACAACCGCGGACCTCTGATGTTTATACAGTGCTCTCTGATTGTGCCTATGGCACCTCTGCTCTTCACTGGTTCAATCTTGCATTTTCTTCCATATCGTTCACTCCAGTACGTTATCATCTTACTGTGTAGAATTGGGACCTGGCCCTCCAGTATTTTCCATGTGTACAGTGGCACCTCGACATATGATTGCCCCTACTTACGATAATTTCGAGTTATGACGTAAATTTCATCGAAAAATGAGACTCGACATCCGATGGTGTCGTCGACTTTCGATATTTGTTGGTACACGTTCGGGTCGACCGAGCGCGTGGTTCCCAGTCACGCGGCCGACCTGCCTCAGTTTACTACAGCTGCCTGCTTAGTGACAATCGCGCCTATAACAAATTCCGCTTTTGTGGTGATTTTTTGCATTTTAAACATTAAAGTAATTATTATATATCACGCCATGAGTCCCAGGAAAGTCAGTGGTAAGGCTCAACATATGAAAACCCATGTAAGGATGACCATAGAGCAAAAACAAGAGTACAGAATGTCTCTTCCTCAACAATTAAGAAAATGTGTGCAGCATGGGAAGAATTGCAAACCTTTGCTGAAACGACTCGCCCAAATCAAGCTGCTGTAACAAACTAGGCTGTTGTAAGAATTATTCCAGAAGGTTCCAGAAGTTCGAGTAGGGACCTGACCTCTCAACAACGCCCAGTCCCCTGGGAATTAGCAGGTCTGAGTCACAAATGGCGGGCATCTTTGTTCATAATTTTGTATAATGAACCATCCTATAGTATTCAGTAATTTAGAGAAATTAGCCTTTATTCATTTTGCATTAAAATTGTATTGTATAATAGTACTGGATACAATATCAAGAGTATTCTAATTATTGAGTTTAAGTCACCATCAGTGACGTCACGAATCAGATCTAACTTGTAAGGCGGAGTGACCGGCGGTCATAGGTCAGCAGGGTTGACATGTCTATTATTTCTCAAAGTTCAATTAACCATTTTGGGGATCGGGAACAGCTCTGCCGTAGATGTTTGTGTAATTTAATTTCAGTAAAATAATTCAACCAGTCTGGATCAATTAAGTACAACAGAGGTTAATTGTTATAACTTAACCTTGCTAAGTAACTGGGTAAGCGATGCGGAACAATACAATGTTCTAGTCTGGGCTAGGCCAGACGAGGAAGAGAGCAGTGTGGTCTCCAGAGCAGCTGGGAGAGGTCAAACATCTTACCTCTCCCCAAGACCAGCCCAACATCTTTAGCTGGTCGCCCAAGGTATAGTTGCTATTGTTAATTATAGGGATAGTCTTCTCATTTGCCACTCAGGTCAAGTAGGGAGTGTTAAAGTGACAGGGAGTGAACATATTTAGATTTTGTTTTAGTTTTTCTTTTAATAAATTAATTAGTTATTAAATTGCATTTTTATTATTTCCATGTGTTTTATGTGTACACTTGTCCTGGTCACGTGGTCCACACGAGGCACAGTTGGGTTGGGCGCCGATTCTAACATCGATTCTAACATCGAATCATTCCCGTGTAATTAATTTCACACTCTTAAGTTTCCACGGTCATCGGTTATAGTGGGATCAAGCCCAAGGTTGATTAATTAGCATGATCGATCCAGACCTCGATCATTGCTCGGTGTTGCTGGTCTGGTGGTGGCAGCGTAGAGGCGACTCTAGGGTTTTGCTCAAAGCCTAGGTCACGTCATACTGGGTGTAGAATCCTAAGTCGGTCAATCGTCTTAGGACCACGTGGTGTGGAGTTGGTTTTGGTAAAAGTTTTGGAGTCCCTTGGTAGAGAATAAAAAGTAAGAATACGGGTAGAGGGGGAGTAGAAGGTAGATAAGTAGAGAGGAACCTAACCCGTGTTACACTGCAGTAGGTCGTTGCCTTATCCTATTCAATGACACTGTGATGCATCATTACAGACAAATGTTAAAATGAAGGGAAAAACAAATGTCTCAAATCTCGTCTATGCGTGCCGTATATGTTCTCTGTATTCCCTCTATTTCAGCAATCTCTCCTGCTCTGAAGGGGGAAGTGAGTACTGAGCAGTACTCAAGACGGGACAACACTAGTGACTTGAAGAGTACAACCATTGTGATGGGATCCCTGGATTTGAAAGTTCTCGTAATCCATCCGATCATTTTTCTGGCTGACGCAATATTTACTTGGTTATGCTCCCTAAACGTTAAATCGTCGGACATCATTATTCCCAAATCCTTGACATGCTGTTATTCTACTATGGGAAGATTCGATTGTGTTTTGTATCCTGTATTATGTTTCAGATCCTCATTTTTGCCGTACCTGAGTACCTAAAATTTATCAATGTTAAACATCATGTTATTTTCTGCTGCCCAATCGAAAACTTTGTTGACATCTGCTTGTAGTTTTTCAATGTCTTCAGCAGAGGTACTTTTCATGCTGATTTTTGTGTCATCTGCAAAGGACGACACGAAACTGTGACGTGTATTTTTTTCTATATCTGATATGAGAATAAGGAACAGTAGTGGTGTAAGGACTGTACCTTGAGGTACAGAGCTTTTAACATCGCTTGGACTCTATTTTATTTGATTGACTGTTACTCTTTGTGTTCTGTTCGACAGGAAATTGAGTATCCAGCGTCCTACTTTTCCAGTTATTCCCATTGACCTCATTTTATGAGCTATCACCCCATGGTCACATTTGTCGAACGCCTTTGAAAAGTCTGTGTATACAACATCTGCATTTTGCTTTTCTTCTAGGGCTTCTGTGATTTTGTCATAGTGTTTGAGTAACTGTGACAGACAGGATCTTCCCGCTCTAAATCCATGTTGTCCTGGGTTGTGCAATTCATTGTTTTCCATAAAACTAGAAATTTGATTCCTAATCACTCTTTCAAACACTTTTATTATGTGTGATGTTAGTGCAACTGGCCTATAACTTTTTGCCAAGGCTTTACTCCCCCCCTTGTGCAACGGAGCTATATCTGCAGATTTAAGTGCTGCTGGTATCTCCCCTGTATCCAGGCTCATCAAACAAACAGTCTTTGGTGTGCCCTAGCTATCTGAAGAGCCAGTAATGCCAGCCTCAGTGTGCCTCACCAGCTGACAACACTTCCTTACCCAGGGCAAGACGGAAAGCTTAAAGTCCCCAACGCACCCCAAGGGTGACGACAACCACAAGTAAGGGAGTCCTCTAACGAAGAGTGATTCCCGAATGCCCCAAAGATAAGATAAGCCTGGACATGCAAGGGCAGTACTTACAGAGCACATACGGAAGGTGACCCTAGGCGCATGCAGCTCCAGTACTCTAAATTCTCGGCAAGCGCACACATCCGTGCAAGAAGGCAAATCATCATCAAAAGGAAAAACTGTGGCCAGAGCGAGCCGATGACTGCCAGGCACGACATCATTCAAAAACTGGCTGGTGGCAGCCCAGCTCAGCCGGGCTGTTTTGATTTACCTACCTACCTGGGTGCTTTAATGGTCGCTGGCAAGATCACGAATTTTAAATGTAAAGTGTTCATGGACCATTGGTCCCTGCGCTTCTCCGAGGGGGCCAGGTTCTGGCTCGTGGTCCTTGGATAGGCTTACAACAACTCTGCAACGGATGACTTCATGTAGTATGGCACTTAATCAGTATAGACAGCTTCCATTACCGGGCTCTGCACAGAAACGTCAATGTAATGAAAGAAGAAAAGACAATATTATAAATGAAAATATGTCGGTTAAATTATTCACACCAGAGCATAGCTTCATGGTCATCCATGAAGTGCCACAATCACAACACACAAGCAGCTATCCCACAGTATTAATAATTAAACCTGTAAACTGTACAATTTAGCTGTAAAAAATATAATATAATATAAAATAATCTATTAAGCCATTAGAATAGAAGAGTACCTTTAGCCTTTCCCCTTGTGACTGCGCTGCTGCCACCCGCTCGCTCCCGGCCAGGTCCACCAGGTTAATGATGCTCACCTTGCTGCTCTCCAGTTGCTCGCCCTCAACATCTTCTACCTACAATCAATTTTAAAATTCAGATGTTTTTAATCTTAACTATGCACTGAAATATAATAATAAAAATTCACTGTGTCTGGAGGTAAGAATCCAGAGTGTATTCACACAATTTTAGCTTTTATCGAGCCCCCCCCCCCTTCCAGGTCGAATTACTGACCCAACCCAGGATGCAATCCCACAACAAGCAGACTAACTTCTGAGTACCTACTTGCTGCTAGATAAACAGCTGCATTAGGTGATAGGAAATGTGCCTAACCATTTCTGTCCTGCCTGTGATTTGAATCCGGATTCTCGATTGTGCATCAAGAACGAACCCCGACTGTACTACCGGGATATGACAATAATAATCTTATTACCAATCAATGTGTGGCAATCCTATACTAATCTAACCTCCCGTCTATCGAGGTTTTCTTGATATGATTTCAGGGCTTAGCGTCCCAGTGACCCGGTCCTCGGCCAGGCCTCCTTTTTTGTTATACACCCCCAGGAAGCAACCTGAAGCAGCTGTCTAACTCCCAGGTACTGTACCTATTTACTGCTAGGTGAACAGGGGCATCAGGGTGAAAGAAACTCTACCCATTTGTTTCCGCCGCCACCAGAGATCTAACTCGGAACCTCAGGACTACGAATCCTACGCGCTGTCCACTCGGCTGTTAGGCCCCTATGCAGCTATGGTTTATGCACAAAAAATGAAGAAATTCCCCCAAAAAATTTGCATAGAATTATTCATTTGAATGCAGAATGTAAGTAAAACCAAGACTGGGCCGGCCACCAAGGGACCAAGGGAATTACCCATACCCGATAGGATTCGAGCCGAGCCAGAACCCAGAGCAACAGCCGGACCAGGGAAAAGAGGTACAGGAACACCCACCGCGACCAGTTCTGCCAAAGATCCCCACCACGAGGCCTCGCAGTTGGGGAATGCTGCCAAGTACAATGGTAGACACTGACATCACGCCGATGCGAAGAGGTCCACCTCCAGGCACCGGTACATCCAACAAACCCAAAGAAAAAAGGCAGAGTCAACAATCCACTTTGTGGAATGAAGCACGACAGGCCATCTGCCAGGACGTTGGACAACCCCCGAAACAGAACGGCGCGGACAGCTAAACCCTCGAGAACTCGGCAGAAGAGCTACACGAAGATCCCAGCCCCAAAGAGCTACGGACTGCAGAGAGCCTCCCCTGTTGAGACAATGAACCCACAGAAGAGCAGTTCGAATGGAGCCGAATCACCGAGCCCCGAGGTAACCGAATCCGCCGTAATGCCTGCCACAAAGCCACAAACTCCAGCACCATGCTGCGAGACCAACGGAAGGACGGAGCCCAACGGACAGGTGAGCACTGGTCATAAAACCCCAGCAGAGACGAGGCATCCGTGAACACATTGAGCATGGGAAGTGAAAGTCACCAAGGCACAGGACCCCAAAAAACCTTTACAGAAAGTCAAAGATGCAGCAACCGACGCAAGGACCCCGGAGGTTGACACACAACTATCGCGAGAGCGGCAAAGGGGCTGCACCGAAGATACCAAAAATCCTCCGAAGCCAGACCCTGCCCAGCGAGAAAACCAGCAAGGCAAATTTCAGGTTCCCGCACAGCTGCTCGAGTAACTGTTGAATGACAGAGATCCTCAAAAACAACAGACTATGAGACTGCAGCCGATGAAAAGCCACAGGAGGAAGAGAAATGGACGCAGTCCGAGAATCACACACGAGGCCCAGCCAAGTCCGAACCCGAGATGGAACCAGATGGGACTTCCTCCAATTCACCAGGAACCCAAACCCGGCAAGCTGTGAAAGAACCATGTCCCTGGAGAGCAGACACGCAGACCGGTTGGAGCCCCAAACAACCAGTCGTCGAGGTAGGCCAAGACCCGAACCCCTAGCAGACAAAGACGGGCCACCATGACATGGGTCAACCGGGTGAACACGCGAGGTTATGTTCTTACCCTGTGCAGAATTCTGTTATATCCTTTGGATATAACAGAATTCTGCTCCCCTGTTATATCATTCGGATATAACAGGGAGCGGAATTTAGACGAGAACTGTAAAGCAAGTGTCCAAGCTGAATCTAAGGAGAGTGAGGATGGCCTGCTGACATGCAAGGCGAGAGGTAAAAAAATCAGCGTTGAATGTAATGAAACGCCATTTTCTGGGCGAGACCCGGAGCCTCCCCAGAGTTACACAGGCTGATATGCTAATGTCAGACTTTGGCATTAGTCATGTGTATGGAGTTCTATGGGCCTACCAGGTACCACGAGCCAGAACCTGGGCCCCCTCAGAGAGGCATGGGGAGCAATTGCCTATAAAAAAAAAACCATGTGGTTGAAAACATTCAATGTCTGCCATCAACTTTCAACTTGGTCAGGCACCCAGAAAGGTAAGCGTCCCAAAACAAACCCCTATTCTGGTGAAAATTGCTACAAAAAGCCGAACAAGTGGATAGAACTCCCCAAAAAGAAAAGAGCAAACGAGCATGATGTCACACGTCGCCGCACTGCTGTCTGTGTAGCTCCCCCACCCCCCCGGAGGAGGAAGGGGAAGCATCAGACCCCCATGTCAGCTATCCACCCTTCAGTTCTGAGGCTGGACATCAAAACCCACGAAAAATCGCCGACCGGGGCAGGGAGGGATTCCGGGGAGCCAACGGATCTCACCCAGAAAATGGCATTTCATTACATTCAATGCTGGGGGGGGGGAGCCCCTTTCTGGGGGGGGGGATATCCTTGATGTCGCTCGCCATAGCCCCTTTGGCTCCCTGCTTTTGAGCTAACTACCCCACAGAGGAAAAGTAGAGGGACTTAACCGGGAAGCGGTCACTGCTCACTCCTCAACCCGAAGTCGAGACAACTGGCTGCAACCGCCGACCCACAGCGACACAGGCCAGACTAGGCCCAGGAACGTTCACGAGGTAGCATGTAGACAAGATCCTGTTCGACTGCCAAAACGCCCGTGCCCGAATGTCAGCCCACGACATGTTGCCAAAGACGGCAGCAAGAGCAGCGAACTTACGAACGTTATGGGCACGAGGATAGACTGCAGGCTGGCTAGCCTTAATAACCTTGCGGACGACCTGGAAGACCCTCACTCGTGAACAGGGAAGGAGGGAAACCGGATCAACCCAAAGCGCGTCCCCGAACACAGAAGCCTTGGCACGCAAATAACGGCAGAGGGCCGCCACCGGACAAAAAACATGACGCACCCCCGGCCTGACCAACCAAGCATCAACAACACCCCTCAGGAAAGCAGCAGTCTCATGCTTCTCCAGAAAAGATGGAGACGGCTGCAGACAAACAAACCGATCGCCACAACTGAAAGAGCAGAAACCCCTGCATTGGAAGAGAGCATGAAGCTCCACCAATCCGAGCCCCAGAGGCTAATGCCAACAGGAAAAAGAGCCTTCAAAAAACAATCTTAAATCGAAGGGGCCACAACAAACCGAGAAGAGAGAAAAGAGAGCACCATGTCCAATGACCAGGATGGCTCAGGCAGCGCATGAGCAGGCCGGGGGTGAAACAATGGACGAGACAGCTTGTGAAAAGGCGCAGAAGTTACATCAATACCGAAAGTAAGCTGAAGCGGCTTGGCCAGCGCCACACGATACGAGGCGACAGCATTCGGCATAAGATGACGGTCCTGGAACAACAAAGAGAGAAAGGACAACACCACCCAAACCGAAAGCGAAGTACAACGATGAAGAGTCAAAAAGTACCTGAAGGACCGCCAGGAAACTTCATACTGCCGCCGAGACGAAGCCCGTAGTTGGGACACTAACAAGGATGCCACATTATCACCATAAATATGATGATAAACTCGAGTCAAAAACACCATATGCGAAGACTCGAGGAGAAGCCTTCGCATATGGTGACATGCGTGACGTTTCCAGCCACGTGACGCTCCGGTCCGATCTGCTGGAAGAGCCAGAGCTACGGGAAAACCTCCGAGTTCGAAAACCGAGCAAGCAGTGCCTGAAACCACGGCTGGGCCGGCCACCACGGGGCCAAGAGGATTACTCTCCATCTGGTATGTCTCCAAGTGAGTCAGGACCAGGAGCAACAGCTGAACCAGGAGAAAGAGGTGCAGGAACCCCCACCTCGACCAGTGCTGCTGAAAGGCATCGACCCAGTTGGCCTCGCAGTTGGGGAAGGGCACCACATACAGCAGAAGGCGCCACGACCACGCCGACACAAAGAAGTCTACCTCGGGGCACCCGAATATCCGACAGAACCAACGGAAGGAGTCGGCGTCGACTGTTCATTCTGTGGACAGGGGAACGAAACAAAACAGGCCGTCCTGCAAGATCTTGGGCACCCCCCGTACATGAACTGCCAGGAGAGCCAAACCCCGAGAACTCAGCAGACGAGTCACCCGAAGCGACCAGTGCCAGGAGCCAAGGATTGCATCAAGCCCCTTCGGTTCAAGTAACGAACTACCGGGGAGCAGTCCAAATGGAGCCGGATCGTCGATCCGTGGGCGACCCGAACCCTCCGGAGAGCAAACCATACTGCCGCGAACTCACTGTGCTGTGGGTGCGATGGAAGGACAGACCCGAGAAGCGGGTCCGAGAGTCCCACATCTCTCATCACAGCTCTCATCCTGTAACTACACTTAGGTAATTACACTTAGGTAATTACACAAGACCCAGCCAGGTCCGAACCCGGGAGGGAACCAGATGGGACTTCCTCCAATTCACCAAGAACCTAAACCCGGTGAGCTGGGAAAGAACCAAATCCATGGCTAGCAAACAAGAGGGCCAGCTGGGAGCCCAAACCAGCCAGTCGTTGAGGTAGGCCAACACCCGAACACCTAACGGACCTAATGCAAACGGACCACAACGACCCGGGTCAGGCGTGTGCACATGCGAGGTGCCAGGTTCAACTCAAAAGGGAGACAACAAAAGCGGTAACCTTAACTGGCTCGCCCCACAACAAAACCGAGCCAGTCCCTGAACCCTGGATGAATCAGTAAGTGCCAATAAGCATCCCGGAGGTCCAGCGAC